GGAGAGTTCTTAATCATTAGCTGGAACAATGTCCCTCGAGTCCCACAGAGGTGCTGGAAGTGTGAGAGGAAAAGGTGTGAAGGGGGTGTTGTGAAGTAGGAGGGATCAGTGGTCTGGGAGCATCAGACGAAAATCTGTGAGCGGGCGTTGGGGAGCAAACAGCCGCCACCGGAGAGGGCTTTGGGGGAGCTCAGGGATCAACATGTCTCAGAGCAAGAAGATGGAGGGAGCGTTCCAAGGAGAGGATGAGGCTGTAGTCAGAGAGAGGCTTGGGGAGGTTGGACTCTCGAGGCAGGCTGGGGAAGCACAGGGCCAAATGTGGAGAAGATGGATAGAAGTAAACAGGACACGGGAGATGCCCAAGTGTGCAGCACGGCGGTGTTCACAAATGCAAACATCCTTGGAAATGACCCAGATCAAGAAAGCACCTAACCCTCACCCGCAGCCCTGTTCCACCCCAGCTGCTGACATTATGGATTCCATCCCCCTGTTTCTGAACTTAATATAAATAGGATCGTGGTGTAAGTACTCCTTAGTATTTTCTTCATGAAACTCATCCGTATTGTTGTGTGCAGCGGTTGTTTGTTCACTTCCACTGCTGTGTGGTACTCCACCATGTGAACATTCCACAATTTAGGCATGCTTTCTACTGTTGATGGACATTTGAGTCGTTTCTCTTGCAAACATGCTACTGTGAACGTTCTTGTAAGTGCTTTAATGGTACACATATGTGTTTCTGGTGGCTGTGCATCTAGAGTGAGATTGTGGGGTCCTGGGATGTGTGGACGTTTAGCTTTTGTGGACATTGCCAGTTTTCACTCCCACAAGTGGGGTGTGAGAGTTCCTGTTGTTCCCTATCCTTGCAAACACTTGGAACAGTCTTTAATTTCAGCCATTTCCCTGGGCGTGTAGTGGTGTCTCAGTGTGGTTTTTACTTGCCTTCTTTCCCTGACGGCTGAAGAGGTTGAACGCCATTTCCTATTTTATTGGCCTAGGATTAGTTTTGATGATACCGTAGTGGGGAGTAGATGACGATTTTAACAGTGACCACTTCCTGGGACTGGTCCTAATGCAGTTCCTAGTAGTGAGGAAGGGGGTAGTGGTCTCACGAGGGACATGCAGACGTTCATCCTGCTGATGGCTGTGTAGGTCAGCAGAGCTGTGTTCCTTATCGGGAACACACTGTGATCGCAGGCTGGGAGGTGGTGTTAAGTAGCCCTGCACATCTTGAACTAGAGGAGAAGGGGAGGGAGAAAATGAAACGAACTGCTGGAAACTGCATCTCCCGTCTGATTGTTGTTGTGGGTTCATTTTGATTGTGAAAGTTGAGTATTGATAGGGTTTTAAGCAGGGTGGTAATGTGACTTATTCCTTTAAACACATCCCTCATCTGCCTTATGGAGATTGGACTCGAAGGGGCAAGGTGGGGGTGGGGGGGGGGCGCTTAGGAGGCTGTCACAATAATTCAGCCAGAGATTATGGTCACTTTGGACATAAGACAGTGGCAGTGAGACTGATGAAAGTAGAGGAAATGAAATACTCACATCTATATGTTTTTGTTTTGAAAAGCTTAAAAACTTGGAAAAGTACAAGAATAATATAACAAACACCTGTATACTCCCCCCCAGAATCTGCCACCACAGCTGCCTGTCTTCCTTCATTTCTGTGGCTTTGTATGTGTAAGTGATCTGTCTGTGGTTCTGCGCTCCGGGATCCAGTAGCATGGTTCTAGATCTCCTCGGTGCTGCCCCGTCTGAGCTAGTCCATAACCCTGTGCGTCCTGGTCGTCACCAGCTGTACCACCTCTGAAATCTTAGTTTAAGGTGCTTCTCCCTGGGGTTTCTGCCTCCCTCCCATGCTTCCAGCTCAGCTGGGCTCCTGCCCCCACTGCACCTTCCTCAGTACTGT